ATAATTAAGCAGTGAGATTCTTAAAAAAGTTTCAAAGAAACAATTAGTTCTTTCAATTAATAAAGTTAGATAATTGACGTAAATTAGCTGATTTTGACTTATTACTTCTTTGTACATCTTAAGCTCTTATCTAACTTATCATACTTCTTAGACTAAGATTAAACTTGCTAAGTTAATTTTTTTCTGCTCATTTAAGCAATGAATAATGTATTCAAAATTATTTTCACGTTGCCTAAAGTGATTATGCAAGTATAAAAGTTTGTGTTTACTTACTTTTTAGATTTACATAAAAGTTATGCATGCTTAATATTTTGATTTCATTTATTGCACAAATTTGTTTATTTAATAATTACACGGAAAAATTTTTCAAAAAATTCAAAGTGCCACCAAAAATTTTAATGAATATTAAAATGAACAATTTTTATACGTATTCAAAAACAAAAATAATTCAAAAAATTTATCAAAAATTCAGTGCAAATTTGAAAAACAAAAAATTTAAAATTAAAAAAATATCTGAAGTATTAGTTGCGAAGAAATCACTATGATTTAAATTTAGCTAAAAATGATTTAAATTATTTGAATGATTTGAAAAGAAGAAATTTTATGTTTACTGTCTAATCTTTAAATTTATGCAAAATTTATGCATGCTTAATAATTTCAATAATTTAAAAGTTACATTTTATTTTTATTTCAACAAAATATTCAAATTGCTTGGATTTATTTCAGTGTAAAAGCGAAAATTTGATAAGATGCAATTAAAAAATTGTACAATAATTTGATTCCAATTCAATTCTGTAATTGCTTTCAATCTAAAAGCAGTGATTAGCTTTTATTCCTTGTCTATCAAGGATAAATTTTGCTTTATTATTTTACGTATTTTAGAATTATTCGTTTGATTGATTGATTAAGATTAACCTTTGCAAGAGTTCGCCTTTGACGTGATAAGTCAGAAATTACTTTTAATAATACAATAATTGATACTGTAAGTAATAAACAAGGAAGCACTTTAAAGAGTATTCCATTTGACCAAAAAGCTAGCTAAAAATGATATTGATAACTGAATTAACAAAAATAATACAAAAGCACATTCTAGTAATTAAGTAATTAATTACTGAGTTTAAAAATAAAAATGTATAAGTAATATTTATTTAATCGCTAGTATTAAAGAAATTTCAATTATGAGTAATATATTTAATTCATGTGCTAAATATCTCTGTAATGTATTCAATAAATAATAATTTTTAATGTGCTTTTATTGAAAATTCACAGTTAATAGATTTTGAATTATAATAAATATTATTCACCACAAATTATATTTAATGAAAATTGTTCTATTTGGGTCAGAATTTGACCTTTTACCCTTTTTGGTTATTCTTTTAATCAGAAATGGAATAAAGTCTTATTATTATTAGCAAAAAAAATGAAAGAAACGAATTTTTAGCTAATATTTTTTATTTTTGAGCAAATAATCGACTAATTACTATTCAATAATTTAATAATTACAAATTTTAAAAAACCTTTTTTTTAATTTAATAATTATTAATTCTATAATTACTATTTGATGCAAGCAAGAAAAAACAGTACGTTATTAATTTTGAGCAAAGATAAATTTTTAAACATTTGCATAAATATTTTTTTTAAACTTTAAAAAGGAAGTATTATGAGTTTTTTCCACTTTTTGGCTAATTTAATTACTTTTAATAACTCTCTGCAAGATATTTTTTACAAGGTAACTTTTTTAGAGATTTGAATTTCAATAGTAATTACCTTTAATTTGAGACAATCACCTTGTGATGGTACAAGCATATAAACTGGATATTGGTCATTTTCATCAGTATAGTCAAAATTTTGTTCAAAGTATTCATCTTCATGACTGTTATCAATTGATAATGAAGTTGATGATGACGATGATGCCATTGATGGTGGTGATAGTGTTGTTGATAACGATATTGTTTGTAACGGCAATGAAAAATTATCAGATTCACTGAGCAAACAAGGAAGAAATAACTTTGGTGATATCCTTACAATCTTAAAAAATAACATTACAATGCTAAAAATGTGATTGTGAATAAGTTTTTGCAAATGAATATATATATGGCTTGGATATAAATTTACAGATTATATTTGTTAATTAAAAAAATTTGAAAAAAAGTTTATTTTAATATACTTTTTAATTTTTACATTTTTGTAAGCTAATATTTTCGATTTTATTGTATACAATTGTTGAATTTAATTTTATGCCCAATTTTAACATAAATTAAAATTTTAAATTTTTTAGTTAAATTTTATAAAATTTTCATAAAGCACATAAAAACTAAAATTCAATAAAAATTTTTCATGATGCAAATGCTGTAAATAATTTTTGAAAAGTTTAATAAAAATTAAAATAAAAAAAAAGTAAAAAAATTTAAAAATTTTTAAAATTTAATTTAAAATTTTTTTTTAAATTTTGAATTTTAAAATTTTTTGTAATGTTTAAAATTTTTTAATAAAACTTTAACAAAAATTGAAATAAAAAAAAATTATTTACAGCATTTGTATCATGAAAAATGATATAAGATGAAAATTATTGCCTCTAAGTAACGATTATTTAAAAATAATTGGTTAAATTACATTTTAAAAAGCTAATTTCAATTAACTAGCCTTAAAAGTTAGGAAATTTGGAAGATTGAACAACGTCATGACGAGACACGTAGCTACGCTTAATATTACTGTAAAGCGTATAGTTACGCTAGTAGCTGGCTGTCTTGCACCACGACGAATTGTTAAGACACGAATTTGAGCTAACAGTACCTTAAAATAATTTTATGACTGACTGATATACTTTTAATCAAATGTAATTGTTAATTAATTTTTTAAAATCAAAAAATTGTATCTTATTTTATTTATATTATTAATTTTTTGCAAAGTATAAATGCTTTTTTTTCAGTAGAGTATTGTGTGAAGTTAATTGTAATGAGTAAACTCGCAGTAGCAAACTTTTCTGCTTAAAATTTTTTAATTTTAGTTAGAATTTATTATTTTCTAAAAATAAATTTGCAATAAACAATCAGAAGCTTTACTTTTAACAAATCTTTATCCATCAATTAATTAAAAAAATAAAAGTTTTTTTCTTTCTATTTTTTGTTTTAAAAAGTTATTTTATAAGAAATTATTATTAAAAATCACAATTACCTTTCTTTATTTAACAGTACTAAATTTTATTATATATTATTAGTAAATATAAAGAAATTTACTTTCTAACTGACAATAATTATTACTAGCTAAAGTTAATTAATGTAAGAACGGTAACACTTACAGTAAGCCAAATACTTGTTGAATGCAATACAACAGATACGTGAGCGTGAATTAAAGTAAATACTGTCCATGGATAATTATAATCAGTATGTAAGCAACGACTTGCAGCACTGATTAAAAAATGTGTGACAAATATTGAATACGACGTCATCACGAGCACGTCACATATTGCTACGGAACAAAGTAAAACATTTACTGGTGAAAGCATTGACGGACGAGTTAAGACCGCAATTGTCATAACATTTAATATAGTACCTGTAAGTACTGTAATTACTTTCTTTCCCTTTGCAATCCTCATTTGTAACTATTTATTTTCACCACAAAAAAAGCTAATTATTAAAAAATTTCTTACGTCATTTCCTTATTATAACATTTAATAGATTAGTATTAAATTGAACTTATTTTAGAAAAGTTTTTTAAATCATATCAGACATTAGTATTTTAATTGCAGATATTTGCTTCAGCGATTAATAACACTGCTATATTTTATTGCATTTTCATATTTCATTAATTATTATTATAGTATCATTAATATATCAACTTCCTGTTATAAAAAAGTTCAAATAATTATAGTAAGGACAGTATTATTAAGTATAATTACTATACTGATCCTACTGTAAGCATTTTTGCTATTTAAAAAAACAATTTATTTTTTCCTTGCAAAGATTATTGTTGTTATGATTAACTTTTACTACCTTTTCACTGTTATTGCAACAACTAAACAGGACTTAAGTAATTTGACCTGTATTACGGTAAAATTATTTAGACTATTATACAAATTATGGTAAAATTATTTAGACTATTATAAAGGTGAAATTTTCAAAAAAAATAATAATTTAAATTTAATTATCACTTTTATTACAGTTTGGTGCAAGAAAAATTAAAGCGAAAAACTTTAGTCTTTGAAATAAATTAAAAATTAAGCAATTTGATAAAAAATTTGATTTATGGCTGGAGAGAACTTATTTTGTTCTGTGAAGCATAAATACTTTTGAATCACTTATTACTTCTGCTAAATTTTTAGAATAAGTATGAAAAATTTGCAAAAAAAAGCAGCAAATTTGACTATTGCAATGCTAAAAATTTGCATAAAAACTGCTTGTTATCAATGGGTTAAATTTTGAAAATTTATGATATTTAATTATTGATTTACTAATTTACTTACCTGTAAAACATAGTAAAACTGCGATATATGGATGGATTAAGCCATATGCTTGCTGAAAATCAGCTAATGCAGCGAACAGCCACGTAGCATTTTGGAATTGTACTGAACCAATTTCGCATGCTCGGCTATTCATCGCTCATCAATACGTATTTATTAATTTATTAACTTGTTTACTTACTTACTTATTTACTTACCTTCATAAAGTAATTCATATTAAAATATATTTTCCGCTTTTTAAATTCTTCCTAAATTTTGCCATTCATTGTAATTATCAACTTTAAAATTTTTTAAATTCTCAAAATACAAATTAAAAAATAGTTATATAGTTGTATGAAAATGACGTAAGAGATTATCAAAGAAATGTATACTTGCAAAAGTTATAAGTAAGTACTAAAATATAGCTAGTAAATAAATGACAGAGTATTTTATGGAAAATTTTGTCATAAATTGCATATTGCAACTAATTCTGAAATGTTATTCATCAAATTACTAATTTAATACTTATTTTGAATTATATAAAATAATTAAAGCAGTAAATATAAGTTAGATCTGAAATAAGCTGTAAGAGTACTTAAAATTGAGCGTTAATCTCAGTAAGAAAAACATAATTAAACTTTGCATATTCATTCAAAGCTTTCAGTTCGTTTTAGTTTTTGAAATAAAATTAATTTTTAATATTTTCACCTGACTTTTTATTTTATTTCCAATTTTTTATCGTTTTATGAGAGTAAAATAAAATGCAAATGCAATTCTCTTCAATAATTTTAAAATTTAAAATACATTTCTAACTTTTATGCAAAAATTTTTCTGTAATAGATTAATTATTTAACATTATCATTTACACTTAAAGATCACTTTAAGATTAATAAATTTATAAATGAATTAAAAATGAATAAAATTAATCATACAAACTTGCAATAATTCATGAAAAAATAATACAATTATTTTTTAATTTTCAGCATTCACCAACATTATTTAATAATAATAATGATAATAATAATAATAACAATAATAATGATAATAATAATAATAATAATAATAACAATAATAATTTTTATAAATGTTCTTACTACGATTTTGATCAAACAAAATTTATGTAAAATTTAATCTTCTATGTCTTATTTTA